CAATCCCCAGCTCTGCACCGAGCCATCCCAGCTCGTGCCCAGATCCCTGCTCCTGCGCCCAGATCCGCTACTTTGCGCCCCCACCCCCTGCACGTGGCTTCTGTGCACCTGCTCCTACCATCACCACGCCCTACCCCCCTCTGCACGAACCAGCCTCCACCCTCCTCTGCACCAATCTCCTGCTTCCTCTCCCCTCTGCATCAATCCCCAGCTCTGCACCGAGCCATCCCAGCTCTGCCACAGATCCCCTGCCTGCACCCGAGCCTTAGCCCCTACGCGCCTGCACCCCCTGCACTCATTACCTCCCCTGCTTGCTTCCTGCTTCGCTGCGCCCAGATCTAGTGCAATCATGCACTCCAACCGATCCTGCACTCATTACCCGCCTGTGCCGCTGCAACCCAACCCAATCTCGTACCAGCTCTGATCGTCTGTTCTCCTTGGCACCTTGTCTCAAGTGTGGGTATAAATAGAGGGTTTTTTTTTTTTTTTTTTTAAAGGGGGGGTCTTTTGGGTGGAGTTTCGTGGTTGATTGAATTTGGAGTTTGATTTTGGAGAGTCTTTGATTGATTTTTGGTTGATTTTGGAAGCTGTGGTTGGTAGAGTTTTGGAATTTGCTTTGGGTGGATTTTGGAGTTTGATTTAGGGGTTGGTTTTTGGTTGATTTTGGGTCTGTTTGCTGGGCAGTCTCGTCTGAGTTTTCGAGAGCAATAGAAGGGGATTTAGTGGAGAAGAAAGGGGGCAACAACGACAAGATCTAGCTTCCGGAAGAGTTATCGGAGAGTTAGCATCTTCTGGATTGTATTCTGATAGGTAATTTCTGATCAGAGGAATTTTTGGGAAGAGCCGTGAGGGAGAAGAAGGGAGCTTGATCCCGTGGGTGGGATCCCTCCCTTCGGATCTTAATCTGCCTTTTTTTCCAGAAATTTCGCCTTGTTTAATTCTGATTGCAGTAGATTTTCGCTGTATTGAAACTGTATTAGAAGATGATATTATGCATGAAAAAAAAAAAATCAAACATGTTCTCTTGAATTCATGAATTTGAGTTGAAGTAGATTCTTATTTATTTTCTTTTTGTTAGTGTTGATGAACAATAACCCTAAATTCCTCTTTATTCGGTCCACAAATTTTTTTTTTTCTGTGTAAGGTCTGATCTGTTTTCAGCATATTTGGATGACGGGTTGTGTTTTGGGTCGGGTGAATCCAATTTAATCTTGTAAAAAAAAAATTAAAAACTAAAAAAAAGGGGTAAAAAAAAAATTAAGTAATTAAGATAATTTACTTAATTTATGAGTAATAAAATTAATTAACGTTAATTAAAATAAATTAATTATACGTATTAATCTTAATTTAAAATAATTATATTATTTAATTATCTTAATCAAAGATTAATAATGTAATTAATTAATTTTAATTAATTTTAATTAATCATTTGATTAAGTTAATTATCATAATTAATCAATTTAAATCTTTAATTTCCTCTAATCTTGCTCAAAAGTCAAAATTATCTTTTTTTCATTTCAATTTCACTCCAAAGTTTTATGATTAAGCAATTCAGTCCAAGGGTCTAACTTTTTTCAAATCAGTCCTCCATGTTTTAAATTTAGTCAAATTAATCCTTCATGTTTTTTTGAATTTAATCAAACTAGACCCTTTTAATTTTTATTTGTGTTCATTGTGCATGTATGTCTTTGATTTTGTTCATTTTTAGTCCAAAAATTTAAAAATATTTCAATTTGGTTTATCTCTTTTTTTCAAGTTTGCTTATTAAGACTCAAACATAAACATGATGAATAAGTTGATTCAAAACCCCCCAATGTTAAAGTATGCAACCATGTTTAAACGGAGAATTGTGAGATGCGCGTATACCCTTCCTCACTCTTAACTGAACCTCAATTTTTGTGCAGATCTATTTTAAGTGACTTGTCTCACCTTATAATTTGAACGAGTGACGATTCCCTTTTCTCTTATATTTTTACACTTAATTTTTTCATTTTTTTGAAAAATCTTAAGTGGTCGTCAACACATACCACATGTAAAGAAAAAGGAAAACCCATCAGGCTCTCCAATTGTTTTCTTTGTCATTTCTCACCAAT